TCTGTTCGTCTCATCCTTTTACTGTGTGTATGTTTTATAATATAACTGTAAACACTCATGACTTTACTCTGTATTTAAATCTCTTTAGGTTGGACTGGCATACAGTCAGCGCTAAGAAACTATATACAGAATACCCAATCGTTCAAATGTAGTCTGGCAATCCTGGATACTCTGTTCGCTAAAGGATCATTTAGACTTCAGCCTCGCCTCTGTTTGGAATTATCTGGCGTGAACGTGTGGATTGTCCTCACTGGAAGCAGTGAGCAGCAGGTTGAAACACTATATGGCCAAAAGTATGCGGACACCACAGGCCCTGACGCACAAAGCCAACTCCATAAAAAAAGTGGTTCAGTGTAGAAGAACTAGAACTGACATGCACATAGCCCTGACCTCAACTGCGTCCAAAACCTGGATGAACTGGAACACCGACTGTGAGCCAGACCTCATTGAGGTGGACCTCATTAATGCTTTTGAGGCTGAATAGGGAGCAAATCCCTGCTGCCAGTTTCCAACATGTGGTGGAAAGTCTGAAACAAGAATGGTGAGTGGAGGCTGTTACAGCAGCAGTTTAGAGCCCATAGTTTTGTTTTGACCTATTTGAGCCATCACATACAGGTGTATGCAAAAGTACTCAATTCAGCATTGCACTCCTTTGACATATTTGGACTCACAAAGTTTATTTTTTAAAGGCATTCAATATTGTCTTCTTTTATTCCACATGTTCTTCCTACTTTAACCACAATGTAACTCGGCTGCTCACAGTTTAGTCAGAGGTTCTTTCGTGCTATGATAGCGGCGGCTAATGTAGCATTCATCTTCAGAGATAAGGAGCGGGCTATATTGGTCTGTTAAACTCTCTTCTCTCTAACTCCACACCAGCAGATTGAACATTTAACAGTTGAGGCAGTATCTGGAATGTTAAAGCTGTCGCCAGTGTTTTCCCCCCGAGCTCAACGGTGCTTCCAGTGTGATGTCAGATAACCAAAAAGACGAGGCTGAAGGAAACAATGATCCTTTAACAACACCTGATCAACATGCTGCTAAGTAACTGCTTCACTTAAATCACAAAACACTTTTTCTAATATAAGTGTTCCCGCGGTACTATACTAACATTAAACAGCAGATGAAGCAATAACTGATAACTGGGAGAAAATAAAACGGTGCATTGCTGTGTATGTTTTAAGTTGAAACTCACATGATCTGTTCGGGAAGTAAATAGAAAGCTCCTTTTTCTTGGCCCCAAATCAAACTCTGACTTTATTCACTCGATTGCTGTTATGACCTTAAAGGTGCCCTGTGGAGCTTTCTTGTAAACATTGTTTATCACCAAAACATATATAGTGTGCATGCATGAGGCCTAACAAACCTCTGGAAGATGTTTCCTCAAAAAACTTTTAAAAGCTTTTTTTATTTTATTTTTACATATTGCAAACTACAGATGTTTGTTAGCTCACAATTTTCTTTATCTTTGCCTTTACCCATTTTTAGATTAGCCAGAAGCCGGTCAGGTTTGCCAAAATGGCAACAGCCAAAACTGACCACACTGGGCTTCACTGCGGCTCCTTAGAAACCCACTACCACCAACTGTCCATATGTGAAATAGCATAAAACTGTCGGCACAAATACATGTAGCTCTGCCCGTGTATTCTTGCATGCGGGTTCTTTTATATAAGCTCAACATCCAAACAAAACGTTGCTCCACAGCACTACTAGTGGTTAAAATCTCCACAGGGTACTTTTTAAGATAGCCTATCTAACTGGTTTCTTCACTGGGATTTCTCACAACACAGCACTGAGATCATTTACAGGAATCAGGACGTTCTTCTGCAAATAACATTCCCAATAATAGTCCCACTTCAAAAAAATGCACGCTTTGCTATGGATGGCAGATCCAAATCTTAACCGTAGCTGTCCGAAATGGGGAGCAGTTGCTTTAAGTTTAGAGAGTACCTTTCATGTATGTTCATTTTCATACCAGCGAGGCATGGCAAACACAGAGAATTTTACAGTTTTTAATCCCTTGTTTTAATACTTTAATTATAAGCTGTGCATTTTAGTTTGGTGGTTGGTTGTACAGCAGACATGTGTGACATGTTTCTATTGTTTCCCATAAGCAGGCCAGCAGTAACACATGCTAGATTTGGGACAGTTACCATATGTAGTTATTGGTGTTGCCTTTCTGTCCTTAACGGGAGTTTCAGAGGACAGTAAATAAATAGATTCTCACAGTAATATAAAACACATAAGACAGCTTGCTTATCTAAGACTCCTTCTGGTATTAGTTAGTGGAAAAATGATTTAAAGTTTAAATTAAAAAGTTCTAATTAAATTCATATACATATATAGTTCATGTTACAAAATGGAGTTTAATTGTTTAATTGTACTGATTGTTGTAATTAAAAAAATGTCTGTGTGGCTAAGGCCTCAACTGCCTCTGTTATCCATTAAAATATTGATTATTCTAATTTTTTATTAGTTTATGTTCTAGATCCCAAATTAACCTTAGAAAAGAAAAGAAGCATTATTAAAGCTGCAGTAGACAACTTTTATAAAAAGAACCCAACAATCAACTATCTTCAAGTCACCAGCCCAAAGTGTCTTTCCATCTTTCTTGGCTCTGATCGGTTGTTTTCATTCAGGCCCGGTGGATTCTTGCAAATGCCATTAGGAGCACTAGGAGGAGCCAGAAGAACATGATTTTTTCAAAAATGACCTACTGCAGCTTAAATATCAGAATTGTTTCAGATTTCAATGAGCACAGTTTTATATATCAACTCTTGTTAAACAGGTCAGTGCTACAGTACGTTCCCACCCAATTCTTTGAAGGTTGCATTGTTGCCATTTTAATTTAATTTAATTTCACTTTAATGAATGACCTGAATGGGGTTTGGATGAGCAGTTTGAGCGGGGATTAAATTTGCCTATAGTCGAGAGCGCAGTGCCGATGCTGATAATAGATTTAATTGGTGGGTTGGAGCGAGAAGATTTCGTTCACAATTTGAATTCATTGCACTCCTAAACCAGGGACTGCTGGGACCTTAACATTTATGCCAGGGAAGGAACATACATCGCACTAGTTCATAAAGTTTTCTCCTCCAGTTGTAAAACGTTCTGGTTTGGATGAAGCAGTCTGGTATATTGCACAGTGGTCAGTAATATGTAGCACACTGGCAGCAGAGTGTGTGTAGCTCGAGCTGGTTCCCAGTGTCAACCTCTGTACAGTGTGTCACTCCTACATAAACACAGTGGAGGATTATGTTCACGAGTGATGCCTGTTTTTAAAGCTATTCCATATCAGCTGTGTCGCTGTGTCGGTTTCCTCACTGACTTCTTGGTTCTCATGTACAGTTTTTCTTTGTGTGATTTATGGGAATCTGATTGATCACAGCTCTGTTTCTATCGCTCTTTCACAGTCATTGGTGGAAATGAATGTTCAAGTAGGCCGTGGTGTGAGATGAAAAGCTTTATTAGAGACTCACTTGATGTTTCTGCCTGGACCTCCAATGTGTGGACATGAAGAGGATTTACTTTCACATATGATCAAAACAAAATCTCTGTTGACTTAGTCATTCTTGAGAATCACAGTGTTTTATTACAGATCCTAGTAAAGGTGTGAACTTCTTTCTAGAGAAAGTAGATGATCAGTTGGAAATCAGTGAATGTTCCAATTTCTACTTTCCAGGAAGAAATAATGTCTAGAGCTGAAAAAACCCATGAGTGAGAGCTGCTGTTGGGGTTTGATTGTTATTTATAAAGATGTATGTGCTGAAAACAAAAAAATAAGAAAAAAAAGTTAAAGTGAAATAATGCTTCAGGAGAAGTGTTGTGTCACAAACTGTATCTACTAATTTCACAATGTTTTCTGAAGTCTGTCGACACTCTGTTATTGATTTCTTTTGTAACTGCTGATAAATGTAATCCAAAATGGAATGAGGAATATTTGATCCGAACATTATGGAATTCCAGTTTTTCCTGATCTAAATAGTACCAGGCCATTAGTGTAAAGATATGAATAAGCAATAAAGATGGAGTGGTTCAAAAAACAGGAATGTTGTGTTGTTTTTCTCTCTTTGTTGCAGGTTATTGAACTACAGTAAAAATACAGTATCATCAGTTACAAAATAAAATAATGATAAAATGTACATTATTTGACCATTCCCAAGCCCTGCTCCTTTTTAGAACATCAATTTCCTCCTTTCCTGTAATCAGATATGCTATGCGCTAGGCTAGTCTATGTAGAAAAGACAACCACATTTTGAAGATGGTTAAAAGATAAAAGTGATAAAAGTCTTATATATATATATATATATATATTTATATTTGATTTAACAATCATACATACTTAATAGGGTATTTTAATAATTGTTACTAATTTCACATACATACTGAAATTAATTAATTAGTCGATCTAAACAATTAGCATTAACCCTAGTGGTGTCTAACTATGTTGATATTTTGGTTTTATTTGTTCAGGTTTTGAGATCTGTCTGAGATTTCTGCCTCTAGTCCAAAACATTCTCAGGAACTGAGAGACACCTTATATAACAGGACCGGGTGACTGCATTAGGGAAAGTAGCTGCACATGAAAACTGTCATATAGGATGCAGGACAGAACAGAAAACTGTCTCCTTAGCTGGAGCATGTATCTTATTTCTTCTATAAGAGAGTCACACACTGGTTTGATTACTATGTGAGAGATATGATTGTTTTTTATTTGTATCTATTTTTATTAAAGCTGCAGTAGGTAATAACTTTTTGTCGTATTTGTTGAAACTCATTATATCCTGACAGTAGTTCATGAGATAAATAATCTGTGAAACAATCAGGTTCCTCTGGCTCCTCCTAGTGCTCCTAATGGGATTTACAAGAATCCACCGGGCCTGAATTAAAATAACCAATCAGAATATAGAACGATGTTTTGGCTGGTGCCTTGAAGATAGCTGATTGTTGATGACCTGGGAATTAATCTCAATTTGTGTGATTTGTTGTATGACTGTTGTGCATATTGTAATGCATACAATATTAAACACAATGTATCTTAACATTCTACTAGTGCTATGATCTAACTGTTGTGTGCAGACACATGTAGATGTGTAACCAGAGGCTATGGTGGAGGTACAGCACATGCTGCAGGGCGTCAGGGCGTCAGGGGGAGGGGCACTTGTGACTTGCAGCCCGGTGCTGTGGTCTCTTTAAACGCAGGGCGGAGAGCAGATCTCCGATCGTCCACGAAGCGGATTACTGCGTTTGCTGCTACATCATCTCAGCTGATCCGGAGGATTCCCTCTGCAGGGAAACAAACAAGCCCTGCCTGTATGCTCAGCTCTGCACGCCACCATGGATTTCAACGTCAAAAAACTGGCTTCTGATGCAGGGGTCTTCTTCACCCGAGCTGTGCAGGTAAGCCGCAGATGGTCTGCTGGACCTGCGGGGAATATGTGGGTTGATTTACCGCCTCACTGTAACTGCGTCTTGCAGGGGTGGAAGAGAGCCGGGGGCCATGGTGCTGGCTTTCTACCACCCTCACAAAGCAGATGATTGTGTTGTAAGAGGATGCAGCTGTAAAGATGAAATCGGCTGTATTTTGTCGTGTAGTTTGATGAGCGCGGCCGGCGCTGTAAGCCGATAAAGGTCTGTCCAGCCTCGATCCATTATTGATGGCTGTGATCGAGTGTGTCACCCATGTGACAGCAGCAGACTGCTCCCCTCCAACTCCTCCGCAGGAAAGGGCTTCTTTATGGAGCAGGCGAATAGGCTCCTCATTGTATACTATATGTTATATTATTCACGCCTTCTTGCCCCCATTAGCTTCCTTCTATGTAGTGGATAAAACTTGACACCAAACCACCTTAAACTGTCAGTTTAATTATTTCTTTTGTATTACGAGCTGTACAGAATTCTAATAACTAGACCTGCTTCCACTTACAAATCAGTAGCATCAGTTGATTAATTCGGCACCCACATAATACACTAAGAAGCACTTATTTATCATTTGTTCTGCCTAGCATTCCCTTTTAAAAATGCATTTCATACACATTAATCCTTTTTTTCCCTTTCTACTTTTATTTGGCATTATTTATTTTTCAAAGTTAATCATTTCCTGATATAGGATATCATGAATTATTTCATATTTAAAAAGAAAATTCTATAAATAAGTGTTGCAATTAAAATAGATATTTGCAGCAGGGCACGGAGGACCTTTTCAGTGTTAATCAAATATAATACGATTTTCTTAAAATAACCCATCTCATCTACTTAAATACCCAGGTACAGTACCTCAAGCCCACCTTTGTTTAAAAGTGTCCATTTGCAGTCATTGTTCCATTATGTAAACCCGTGATTCCCAGCAGGGGTACTTGTGCAGTCTTTATGTGAAAAGATTGTGGAGTAACTCAACAAATTAAAATTCAAAATATAAATTACAATTAAATTAAAAACCAACATATTGAACACCCAAATCCTGATCCTTCCTAAGCCCCACCCCTTTTGGTACATTGGTCAACAGTGCTAGGCATTTGAAGATGGTTGAAGATAAAAGCAACATAGTCACATCTTAAGTTAGCTAATGTTAGCAAAATGCTGGTTAACTAGCAGCTAACGAGTGATGTAGATTAGCTAGCTAGTTATCTAGCGTTTTGATAACATTAGCTAACTTAAGATGTGACTATATATAACGTATGTTGCTTTTATCTTTAACCATCTTCAAAAATGGAAATTTGACTGAGGTTGGTTCTGACCGAGAATTGCTCAACTGTTATTGGAGCACAGAGCAAAAAGAGGCGGGGCTTAGGAAGGTATACTTGAGAGTCTATTAAAACTAGTTTCTAAGCAAGCGGATAAGTCTAAATAGTTAAAGCTAAATAAAATGGATACATAGTAAAAATAAAAATAAAAAAAAGCTAGCTTAAAATTTGTAAATGGTTAAAACATCCAGCTTGTGGTACATAAAAAATCTTATATCCACTTTTATATTGTAACTACTGTTCTATAAGATCCACTCTAAAATCAGTTAAAATGAACACATTTGGAATTGTGGATGAAGGGGTCCTTGAGCTCATCTGGCAGCAGTTTGGGGGTACATCTGAAATCTGTCTGGGAACCACTGATGTAATTAATAAACGTATCCATACGCTGATGCCCTGATCTGCAGTATACTAGATAACTTTAGGTACAGCTCCTTACAAAAATAATGGATCTGAGGGAACATTCACTTCCATTGTCACCATTTGTATGCTGAATTAATTTAAACTTCCTATTGATAAGAAAACAGCCTTCATTCCTGTCATGAATGTATAAGTGCTGAATATCATGAGAGCTATAAAGTAGAGGATTTTACAAGGCATTTCTTGTAAGGGCTGTGTGACATTCCCATTATCACTGACAGCCTGCACATAGCGTGTCTGACAGCCTCTATTAAATAAATGTGGTACTGCTGTAACTACATTAAGGTCTGATCTGAAACAGACCTGTATAGGTATGAAAATTAAATTATTATGGCAGATATATCTGTTTGCAAGAGGGCTGTGTTTAATTAGGAAAATGTTTGCTCTCAAATGAACACCTGGCACAGCAGCTAACTTTTAAATTGTAACTTCCATAGAACCATGAGACAGATTGTCAGTGTTCACTAACAGCTGTGTTAGCTGCTATAGCTTCATTTCTGACCACTTTCTGCAGTATTTGATTGAAAAGATCCACGAATGCAACAAGTGCACTTCACTTTTCTGGAAGCATTGTGGGAAACACAGGAAACCACTGGCTGCGTAGGAAGTAGGTGAGACATACTGAGGGACGAAAAACAACAGAATAACTCCTGGAATGCACTCAACACTACATAGGCAACCATATTTACTGTTTCTATATTCCTCCATACAACTGTAGAATGAGCCAGGGCAGGATAAAAAAGACTTGATGATTAACGATAGAATATTAACTGTTAACAGTTTAAGTATACTCAGATATATTCATATCAATGAATACAACACACTTAACAAATTCACATAATTACTCACACCAGCAGCAGTGCCAGAGAGTTGTGAGTTTAAAGCGAACACAATTATTTCTGTTAATTTGGAATGAAGAAAATCAAATGTGTGTAAACAAGTTTATAACAACAAACATGAACACATAATCACACTCTAAATCATAGTCACCAGGAAATAAATATCTGTGGAATTACAAAAATACTGTAGCAACTGTATCGGTTGTTACAGTACACTTGCAATAACAAAAATAAAAGCGGTCCATAATTAGTTTGAACACACTAGAAAGCAGTAGAATGTATTTCACCGAACCAGTTCGACACTTGTAGGGACTGAACTGCTGACTAGAGTAGAAACAGACAACAAGCAGCAAAGGTCAACGGTCAACATACTAGTACAAGAAAAAGATGATTTAATAGGTTTTTGTTAGATCTTAGGCAGTCCAATGTCTTCATATATGTATATATATATATTTTTTTTTTTTAAATATGTTTTTTTCATCACAAAACTAGGGGGGCTTAGGGGGGCTCAGCCTTTTTCAGAGGGAGCTTAAGACCCCCCCTAGCCCCTCCCTCTCGCCAGCATTGAATAAACCTAACCCAACTACAATATTTTAACACTAAATAACAGTTACAGTACTAATAGTAGTTGGTAGTCTACCAACTTCCCCCAGTCATTATGACACATCCCATCTGGTGTTTTATATCTCTGCACCCCATCGCCGGAACCAGTGTTTTGTCAATTTATACTACCTTTCCAAAAAATCCTAGTGTAATGTGAATCAATAACTAACCAACCCTACCCTTAACTAATGTACATGCGCACAACACCGGCTGATGTGCTTCGCATGGGGTCACACCATTGACAGTAACGGACAAAACTTCCGGGTCTATTAAATGAAGCCAATGTGTGTCTGAAACCTGCATTCTATGTTATGGCCAGCAAGGGGAGCACCATTGGTTACAATAACACACCGATACCATCTAATTGAGAATGAGCCGACTTCTCACTTGATTTATGAGCTCAGTAAACCTCAGTAAACCTGATGAGTTTATGGTCTCAATCTCTAGTTTCAGTCTTCTTCCATACATTATGATATTCCAACAACAATCCATTTCGTGATTTGGTCCTGTAGATACCGGTTGTATAGGAACCGGTGCTATTTTGGCACTGTGTTTCGGTACCCATCCAACAACACTACTACATACCCATTTAGAATGGTTTTCAGCTGACAAAAGTGGTTTGAGGGGTTTAGTTACTCTTTAAAGAGGCAGATAACAAAATCTTTTTCATTTCTCACCTGGCTGCAGTGCCACTTGTAACCATTACCACACCCATAAACTGTTCATGTTGGTGTTCTCATATTGCTAGCAGTCAGTGAAGTTCTAAAAAGTGCCATCCTACCACGAGCTGGACATTAGTAGTTAAAGGGTTAATCAAATCCCCAAAAAACTAATTACCCACAGTGAACCTGGGTCCTTCGGGGTCCCTGAGGGTCAGATTTGAAGCCTGCAAATCCAGCCTCTGCCTGTCTCCGATAGTCCCTTCTGAATTCTTGTTTTTTAAGAAGTCATAAGATGTGACGCGTCATTTAAGCTGAAGCTCATCCAGTAAGCCGTTGTGAGTCAGGCTTTTTGCCTGCTGTTTTATGACACTGATGGTGAATTCCTCAGTTATCTGTGTGTCTTTAAAGTCCAGCTGGCTGCTGTCAGTCAGATCTGGCAGCCAGTGAAGAAAGCTGAAGAAGTCAGACAGCCCTGCCTCATACCACAGATGGGGTTTTTTGGCCTGTGTTATAAAACACAAAGTCTGCAGCAGAAGTGGATGTTCTCATCATTTATTGCACAGTTGGACATCACAGTTGGTGACAACAAGTAGCTCTTTGTTGCTACTGTGTTGCTACTTTCTCATATAATTTTTCTGCACTTCTTTCTCTTTTTCTAGGAATGTTGTCACGTGATTGAATTCACTTGACTTTTATAGACCCTTATACAACATACTGTAAATACAAATCCAGACATTCTCTTAAACAGCTCCAGACCAGGATGGCAAAGTCACGACCCGCCCTACTCTGCCTCTGATTGGCTTACCCTAACCAATCCCACTCATGAGTACTAGCCAATCAAAAATATCGGCCTCCCAAGCTTGTACATCAGCTGATATTGGTTAATTGCAGCTGCATATTAATGTAATAATGCTATCATGTCATCATGTGTATAATGTGTGCCTAACTTTGTCTCCCAGTTCACAGAGGAGAAACTGGGCCAGGCTGAAAAGACAGAGCTTGATCCTCACTTGGAGAACCTGATCACTCGGGCTGATGGCACCAAGAACTGGACTGAAAAGATCCTGAGACAAACAGAGGTGCTTCTGCAACCCAATCCAAGTAAGAGAAGAAAAAAAGACGCGTCATCTTTTGCCTTCTGGTTACCATATAAAAAATGCCTTTCATTCCTTTAAAAATGTATTTAAATTAAACAAGGTTTTGTTTGTTGTTTTTAAATTATTTTTCTTACTTATTTAAAGCTGCAGTAGTTAACTTTTATGAAAAAATCTTTCTGTGATAATCTCTAAAACTTTGGTTTGGAAAGTTGGAAGGATGCTTTCTGTTGGTGGCTTGAAGATAGTTTGTTGAGTCTCATTCTCAGGTCGTCAAATATCGATGGAAGGAATGAGACTCAACAATCAACTTTCTTACTTGCCTCTGATTGATCAAAGATTATCTGTCTCATGTTCTAATGTCAGGATATAGTGAAAGTTTCAGTAAATATGACAAAAAGTTACGGTTACAACGGTTCATAGTCCTGCATTAATCTGTAATAGATTTAGAGATGGATCTTGGAAGTAATGTCTAACCCTTGATCTTTGTATTCTTTTAACCCTCCATGCTCCAGTTGACCACACTGGTAAGTCATTTCCCAGAGTGCTATGTAAGGAAAGTGTGAACTCACTATGACAGACAGTGTAGCATATACAGACCTACCATACACTGATGATGTTGAAACTGAAACGTGAAAGAGTGAACAGTGCTGCACAGTGAATGGATGGACTGTGCACACACAAACAGGTGTTGAATTACTAATGACCGTCCCTGCAGGTAGACAAATGATAGCACTTGTCTGACGGGATATATCCAATGCTGCCTCATGGGTAAATTCTCAAATAAAAGCAGGTGTTCTAATGGTGCAATAGATCTTTTCCACAGCAGCCAGTTTGATATGACATAGTAGGGTAAACACTGGTGTTACCAATGATACTAAATAAATTCTGTTACATTCAGGTCAGCCAGAGTCAGGCTCAAAGGCTCTGCTACACTGAATAGAACCTTGACTGTGTAGAGTTAAACTTACAGATAGCCTGTCTTGCTGAAGAGGTGGGCATGATCATGGTACACTAATTAATTTGTTATGGGAATGTCCCACAGTACAGGCTTCATGGCGTGCTGTTCATGAAAATAGAAGGCAGATTATAGGCCAAGATATTCCTTACAAACCTAGTCTATATGTTCTGACCAATGTATTTGTATTTACACATGGAATATGCTCCCCATTGCTGTGGCCCTGAACCCCTATGCTCAAGTTTTAATGTTATTAAAATTTTACCTTTTTTTGTATACATGTCCATTATTATTTAAGTCTACTTTTTCTGTTCCTATTGTTGTTGCCCTATTGTTTAAGGTTGTTGTGTCTGTAAACACTGAGGGATATTAACCTGTGCTATAATGATATGCATGGTGTATCAGCACAATGGCCTATTTCCACAGCAATTATTCCATCAATATAACAACACGGTCACGTTTCTGTTTTGCTTTTACGAGAAATACTGTTTTTACTCATTATTATTTATACTTTGCCTTGCCTTGGCCCAATAGGAGCACCCTAGCAACAGGAAGGCTGGTTCTTTTCAGTAACACACTATATGAACGATATAGTTTAGAGAATATTATAGATCTAAGACGAAACTTACCAGTCTGAAGGGTGGCACTGAGAGAAAAAGGCGCAACTACAACTCTGTCTGCTACTTCAGTACCACGCACAGCATCAATACACCGCACAGTGATATTAGGCTGCTGATAATAAAGCTGTCGTCAGGGCTCCTTGAGGAAATTCACTCCTGTAAACAGTTCTCTTTTTAGAGCATGCCATGTGAAATTACTCACTTATTTTCCAACTGTTCTCTGCTGTTGTATTTCGCTCACGGACGTAAGAGGATCTAGAAAGCACCCAATTGGACTGTGAGTTTCCTGGAACTAAACCTGTGCTGTAAAGGCCAGAAAAGCTGCACCGGTTAGAATATAAATGTTCCATCAAAATTGAATAATTCTCAATAATTTTATTTATGTTATAGGTTGGGATAGACGGCGTCTGGGTCCAGACCCGGACTGAGTTCAGCCTGTTAGTAATCTTGGTACTAGGGGATAGAAAGGGGGAATTAGAATCAGTATCAGAAATACTTTATTGATCTCTGGGTGGAAATAGGTTGCATTACTGTTGCTCAAGTTGCTAAACAAAAATAATTAACAATAACAAGAAAATATAGAAATATAAAATAAGACTTAATCTTATATTGAAAACTGTACAATGAACCCAAACAGTAAACTCAGTAACTGCAAGACGTTCGTTTAAAACCAGTGATCCGGATGACTTTTAAGCATATTATTTCCTGTTCAGGGAACTTTTTATATAGCTCTCTGTCAATTCAATTCAATTCAAATTCAATTCCAATTTTATTTGTAAATGCGCCAATTCATAACAGAAGCTTATCTCAAGGACACTTTTCAAACTACAGCAGGTCTAGACGAACTCCTTATAACATTTACAGAGACCCAACAGTACCACCATGATCAAGCACTTGGCGGTTTGGCAGTTTACTGTATAATTGCAGTATTAATGACAAATAAATGAATAAACCAGACTATTGCTAAAAGTTGGTGAAGATGAGCAGGAGCCACTGCAAAAAGCTGCATGCACTACAGCAGGTTAACAAGGGGTGTGGCATCCTCCTCATATCATCTACCGGTAACACAACAATCAGTGAAATGCTTCCCCGCCTCTGACGAGATACAAATGTACGACTCCTGACAACCCCCAACAAGCGGAATATGGATATTGTGTAGGAGATGTCGTAACATCATTAGGAATGTTCTTCTACTCAAACAGAATATTATTATTATTATTATTATATTTATTTTATGTATAATAGTAGTTACAATATGGAAGTGAGAAAAAACAAAAATACAATTTTCTCAACTTTTTTCCAAAATGTTTTTTTATAATGAAAATGACCAACATTCAAGTGCTGAAAAAAAAGAATGAACAGAGTTAGGATAAAAAAAAAATCTGTATAAAAATAGGGGCTCTCTTTTTCCTATTGATGTATTCACTGTTTACATATTCACATAATATTCTGTGGGTCTTGAAAGATTAGTGAATATGACCAATAATGCTGGCAGTGGCTGGTAACTTAAAAATAATACTCTGGCAGGGAAAGTGTTAAAAGCTACCCACTGGGCCGCTGGAAGGCTTTCAGTGAGAAAGTGTCGCTGCTGTTGGCTGCAGCTTCACAATGATCCAAAACCAACAAAATGGAAATGACTAAAACTAATTAATGAATGGAAATAATGTTCCTGTATGACATGACTCCTTTGTTGTAATGATGGAATCAGCACTGTTGAAATGTGCAACATATTACATTTTATTTTATTAAGAGTTGAATTTGCATTAAAGCAGTGGTTCCCCCCACTAGGTGTTGCCCAATCTTCATGGGGGGTTGGCGAGGCCTTCTTGATTTCAAGGCGCGTTAGAAAACTTAAAGAATATACACTGCAGGCCTATATCTCAGCATTTGGTTCACTTCTGTGAAGAAAAGTAAATGGAAAGGCATTTGTCTAATTGAACAATGGACATGTGTCATGGACAAGAAAACACTGAATGTTTAAAAAAAGGGAGCCTATTAAGTCTGTATGATTGTTAAACATGATAAAAATACATAATACAGACAGAATTGTATAAAAAGTTCCTTAAAACGGAACAAAATGTATCCAAATACTTGAGATGTTGGTGTCCTCAGTTTCAGAGCGATCTCTTTATCACCAGGTGCTCGAATAGAAGAGTACATCTATGACAAGCTGGACAAGAAGCTTCCCTCCAAGGCGACCAACGCAGAGCTGCTGGGCCAGTACATGCTGGAAGCTGCCAATGATTTTGGTGCAGTGACGCCATACGGTCAGTGGAGCTGTTACTGAAACTGATACTGTGGCAGTTGATTGGTGAGACATAACCCTAACCCTAACCCTTTGAGCATGGTGTCTGCTCGGTACTTATGAAGTCCCGGAGGGCTGGGGGGCCTCTCTATTAGAAATGATTAAATAGTTGAAAGTGTGGTTGATGATTTAGCAGCTGTTGAAAGCATATGTGAGTTTTTATATGAACAGCAGGGTGGACGGCTCAAGATGTGGTCCATCTGAGCCTGGAAATGGCGGCTTTTCTTAATCCTGTGAGATCAGGTCTAGTGTTCTGGGTCCAGATTCTTTAAAGTGAGAATTTAATACAATTTTTGATTTTTGACACCAGGGAGAAAATGGAAGTGGAAGAGTTATTTTGAGAAGGGTCCAACTGCAGTCCACCCTCCTGAAGCCCCTAGTGAGTCAATGGGAGTTGAGCATGACCTCCCTAGTAGAGTTCCGTATGGAGTAAGCTAGCAGTCCTCCATAATCTGTTTGTGAACAAGTTTTCGGTATTTTCGGAATCTTCACTCATATTAGATCTAGGCCTAATTTAAAAGTTTGTTCTGACTTTAGTGAGGAAAAGGCACAACTGCACTACCGGTGTTATGGTTTGAAGAGAGCCCCTGTTAACCACTGACCTTTCGGCCAAATGTGTCTGTGGTTACTCACAGTGACGGCAGCTGCTGCTAACAGAGCTCTTGAATTAAATGATCAATATTTATCTTGAGGAATTTGACCCCATAAGAATTTTTTTTCACATTTCCCACATTATAAGAACATTATGAGAGGTGAAAGAGTCTTGCTGAGCACAACTTTACATACATAAATGTTTGGTGCAGATATTAAACACGGATGAGTGTGTATTTCAAATTGGTTAAAGTAAAATTAAAGGCTTTTAGAAGGACAGCTGGGGGTCTTCTGTGTTTTCAACATTTACCACTACTATGAGCAACGTTTCTGCCTTAAAGTCACCAGTCATATACTTCAGATAATATAAATATACTTCAGATATTTCATATAATATTCTGTGAACTACAGGTGCATCTCAATAAATTAGAATATCATGACAAAGTTCATTTATTTCAGTAATTCAATTCAAAAAGTGAAACTCATATATCATATAGATTCATAACA